CCTTCCTTCCTTCCTTCCTTCCTTCCTTCCTTCCTTCCTTCCTTCAAAACAGGTTTGCGGCTCACAATCTCGAACTGATGGGAGGTGCCGATGACCGCAACTACTAGGACTAGTAGTACTAGTAGTGCGTCACGTGCATGATTGCAATCATATGGACGACAGCAACAAGCCAAGATCCCTTGTGGCTTTTCCATTGACAGGAAAAAAGAAGCTACTAGGAGCAAAGGGCATCGCTACTAGGAACAAGACGCTACTAGGGGTCGCTACTAGGAGCAAGGACGCCACCACTATTTCTCTCCAGATTGCCAGACTTCCCTACATTCGTCAAGTAATGAGACAAGGTGAAGTTTCTCCACGAGTATGAGATCCGTCCTGGCTGTCGAATATGTGTGCAGCAGGCCTTTGGTGTTTGTTTCATGAGAGTTGGGTATAGGTGTGTCCTTCGCATTCATGGGTGGAGTCTCGTATACAGTTCTTTGGACGTAGTGAGAACAGTTGAAATTTCAGGCGGATTTCGAAGAAGTGGAGAAGAAGGATGCCAAACTGTCGAAAGACAAGCTCAAGGAGATGTTTGGTAGACGAAATGTTGCAGACATGACGATCTCCAGTTATTTTTCATGTGACAAACACAACTCTGAGCAGCTGTGTGGTAAATCAATGCTTCTCTCACCAGGGTCATTGATCGCAACTGTTTGCCTGGATCTCTGGAGACAGGCCCTGGTCAGTAGGTGGGAGGCCATCGCTATTAGGTAGAATGCTAGAGTAGCCCTTTGTTCCTAGTAGCTTCTTGCTCCTAGTAGTACGGCCAGGAGCCCCTAGTAGCGTCCTTGCTCCTAGTAAGATAGAAGAGGATGAAAGGTAGGTTGGAGGCCAGCTCATTGTAAGAGACCGACCGACCAGAGAGGGCATGGTGGTGCACTTCGGCAGGAGCTGGCAGCGGCTCGAAAGCCCGATGATCAACGTGCTAAGTATTTGGCTGCCAAGAATACCCTGAAAGAGGTGAGGGGGTGCCAGCGCTGGTGTCCGCAAGACCAAAGATGCTTTTCTTGAGATTGCTTGACTCCCTAGCTAATTTTTCGCTTAGCTGAGCGACCCTGGTTTTTATTGATGTTTTGAAAGCCGTCATTGAGCGTCAATCCAGATGCAACTATGTGAGCCACCGCCTGAACAGTTGCTTATAGTGTCTTAAGGGGGATAGTCATCCAATGTCTGATGACTTTCAATAGGAATAACGAGCATGTATTCGCATTAGTAGTAACAAGAAGCTAGTAGAAACAAGTGCCTTACTAGTAGTAACAGGTGCCTTGCTAGTAGTAACAAGAAGCTAGTAGAAACATGAAGCCTCAAATGACTTGGGAGGCAGTATCGTGGAGTGGAGAGATGGATGATGGCACTGGCCGGCGCATTGTGCTGCTGAGGCGCATCCCCTAGTAGCGTCCTTGCTCCTAGTAGTACGGCCAGGAGCCCCTCGTAGCTTCTTGCTCCTAGTAGCGATGCCAGGAGCCCCTAGTAGCGTCCTTGCTCCTAGTAGCTGCATCTTGACGCCACAAACACGGATTTACGTGCACAGCTGTGAGCCTGTGGCCTTGACTACCCTGAGAACACATCCAAAAGCACCAAGAACGCGCTGTGACAATCGGAGATTTAGCGAAACATTGTGATTTTTTGGGTAAGCTCACGAGCGTGTTCTTTCTGAGCCTGCATCACCACTGAGGCACATGTTCTCGGCAGAGGAGGCCGAGAAAGAAGGTTGGAAGGGACGGACGATGTTGCAAGACGGCAAAGGGCAAGCTGGGTGGAACATTGGACTCACACGGCTGCAATCAATTGGACATCCGCAATGAATTGCACATGATTTGTTTTTTGCAGGTCCTGAGTTCTATGACGAACTGGCAGAGGAGGCTGCACAGAAGAGCTACAGATGTTTGACTCGTTGCCTTTTTCTTTTCTCCAATTTCGACCTAGAATGGCAGTTGCAAAGCACAGGTCAAGGAGGAGTGTGACAAGATCGGTCAGGTGCGTAAGAACTTGTCAAGATCGGTTTTCTATAATGGCAGGGTGAGCTAAACCTACTAGCGATGGCCTCCAACCTAGCAGCGATGGCCCCCAACCTAGAAGCGATGGCCTCCAACCTACTATCGATGGCCTGCAGGGTGAGCTACTCCTTGCAGTTTAGTTTCTCTGAAGGTCCTTAATATGTTCTCACACATTGTTATCAGCCGTGGATGTTGGTTGCACCTGTGCAACCACAGCACATTTTTGTGAGAAACATTTGTCGTTCACAGGTGCAAACAAACACAGACCCACAGCGCTTGGTGGCAACGTGCAGTGCTTTACAGGGCTTTGAAAGTTGCGAATTACGAAAGGATTTGCAACTGGATGCCAAGACTGTGAGCAAAAGGAATTCCAATTTTTGCTCCCCGAAGGGCCTGAAGGGGCCTATTAGGTTGGAGGCCGTCGCTACTAGGTTGGAGGCCATCGCTACTAGGGTGGAGTCCATTGCTAGTAGGTTTCTTGTGCTATTAGTCCCTTTAGACACAGTTAAGTTTCCCCTTGTCTTTCTCTGTGCCGAGTTGGGCAAAGTTGCAGGTGGTGCGTGTCACGCCGATTGAGCGGCATGTTCAGGTGGGCTTTGCTTGCGAATCCGGTCACCAGGTAAAGCATAAGGTAGGCAAACCTTTTTCTCTTTCTTTTATTTGATATTCTTATCTTGCAAACATTGGGGGTAGGACTAGTGACTAAGTAGGTAGCTTCTTAGGCCCCAGGACGCAGGCTAGGTAAAGGGCTTTGCCTGAATGTTTTGGTTCCTAGATTTTCAGGAAGCTTAACTTTCTTTCTGACACCTCATTTTTTTAATCCTTTCTTATTCCTTGCCTGGTAGATTGATGTAGATCGCATTGGATCCGTTCGTGAGACTAGGGACTAGCAGTGCAGGGACTAATGGTCCACGGATCCAGGGTATCGTCTGCATCAAGTTCAAGCTCTCCTCCGAAGCTGAAGAGTGCATTCGAGCTGGGCACACAACTGCACAACTAGCTGAAGGTGACGTCCAGAGTGTAGCGAGAAAATCCATGATATCCTTACTCCTTGCTAGTTTTTACAGGGTAGCCTCCAGACACAGTCATGCGCCATCGTGCTGCATATGCTCAGCCAAGCGGCTTCATTCAAACCGTCATCCACACCGCATCATTTGGTACCCAGGTCATGGATGGCCGCTTCTTTGGGGGACGAACTGTGGAGGCGCACATGCCTCCAACCTATTAGCGATGGCCGTAGTAAGGTCAGGAGCCCCTAATAGCGTCCTTGCTCCTAGTAGCGTCCACCCATGCTTGCAACAACTTTGGAATTCAGATGAATTCAGGTTTCTCGGAGATGCATTTCTGAATCGTTTAGACTTTCTTTGCTGGGGTTTGAGGCCTCCTTTTACGATGGGAAGACAGACTTGAAAGCCTTTGGCGTGATCCAGGCAAGAAGGACACCAGTTGGATGAGGGTAAGCCGGTAAGCTTGGGTCACATTGCAAGTCCGTTACTACTAGCGAACCTTGTTACTACTAGTAAGGCACTTGTTACTAGAAGCGATGCACTTGTTACTACTATCGTGGCACTTGTTACTAGGATAAGGTTGTGATGTATGCGGACGTTTACTTTTCTCGCTTCCCGGAATCCCGCAACCTCCACAGGGTGCCACTGAAGCTGCGAGGATTGCAGGCCGAATTGGACACCGAAGAACCCAAAGAGCAAAAGTGCGACAGCAAATTGTGAATTCTCTGAATCAAATAACATCAATAATGAGGACGCTACTAGGGGCTCCTGGCCTTACTACTAGGAACAAGGACGCTACCGAAACTTAGAGTTTTGGCACTTGCATGCATGGTTGACAGTTGTTTACCAGGCGTGGCGTTGCACCCCAAAACCTGGATGGCTTGACTTCCAGACTTGTTTTGGAGTTTTGGGATATCCTTTGTCATCAATAGATGTTGGTCGAAATACAGCAGGCCGATGGTGCTTCCTCTTGCTTGCCACAGCCATGTATATCATATATTTTGTTTGCACATTACCTGAACAGTTTTCAGGGTAGAGGACGCTACTAGGAACAAAGGGCATCGCTACTAGGAGCAATGACGCTACTAGGAGCTTCTTTCAATTTCCGTCCGTCCAGGCAATGAACCCGTTGAATCTCGGGCAACTCCAACAGTGGAGGTGGGGAAGATGCCTCGAGCGTCAGAAGAAGGGTATTGTCAGAAGCAAGTCCAGCTGCCGAACGTTTCCACCTGTCGTGGATCTGGACACTTGCATGAATGGTCCATGCTTCGGCGAACTCGCACTTCACAACATGACCATGTCATGACCATGTGATGACCATGTGATATTGCTAGTAGGTTGGAGGCCATCGCTACTAGGAGCAAGGACGCTATTAGGGGCTCCTGACCTTACTACTAGGAGCAAGAAGCTACGAACGGAACAAAGGGCATCGCTAGTAGGATGACGCGTGCATTTGAGAGGCACCAGTCGCTGCACCAGCCGCTGTACCAGCCGCACCCGAGGCGCCTGAGGTGCCCCCTGAGGCTGAAGAGGCGGGGACCGGAGGGCACTTGATGCACCGCTGCGGAGGGGACCGGATCGAATGCCTTTCTCCAACGAGGGGTTTTAGTGAAGAGAGCGCACTTCTTCCAAGCTCGAACGATCCAGGCTGAGCAGTCCGCAGAGATACCCGAGATCCAGCAGGTGCAAGACTAAGCAAGACGACTGTGACACTAGGAGCAAAGAAGCTACTATATAGGGGCTACTTACTACTAGGAGCAATGTTCGCTACTAAACTAGGGGCTCTTGGCATCGCTACTTGTGACCCATGTTGAAAAACACACTTTTTTTCAAGCCCGCCCTTGCTTAATCAAGTAGGCGCGTACTTACTGTAATTAAGTATGGAGGTAAGCTACTAGCTACTTTTCAAAAGCCCGCTCCATTCAGTTGGCGCCTACTTAATGAAGTAAGGGAGCTACTACCTACTGAACGCAGGATAGCGCTCGCACTGATGGATTTGGTTCTTAGAATAGCAGCTTAACCAATGTGGCGACGCTTGCAAGGCCTATGACGCTATGTTCGAGGATCAGTCAAGTGACGACGAGGACTTGGTGGTTGGCCTCTCAACTTTCCACGGTTCTCGCTTGGTGGAAGATCCAAATGTTGAAACTCTTAAAAGAGAGAGAGACAGAGAGAGACCTAGGAGCAACCTTTGTTCCTAGTAGCAATGTCAGCAGCCCCTAGTAGCGTCCTTGCTCCTAGTAGCGATGCCCTTTGCTCCTACTAGCGTCCTAGAGGCACCTATTTGATTTTCTACCTTACATTCGACCTCAATATCCGAAGGTCTACCTACAGCGGAGACAGAGTGACTCACATGTTGCCGCCAGTTGGTCTTGAGGTGCGCACAGAATAAGCTGCCGCTGGGTGCGTGCAGCGGCCAATGCAGTGGCCAAAAAGATGATGATGGCGCATGCCCAGAGCATTTACTTGTCATGCCTGTGGAGTCTCGAAAACCATTGGTCGAACCGTTTTTGTTCAAAGCCTCAGCATGTTTTAAGCAAGATCAAGCCGCGGCTCTGTGTTTGGTGCTGGCCTAGTTAACTTGATATTTATGAGGCTTACGCCTGACAGCCGGGCGCCGGCCCACTAGGGTCCGTAAACCGTAGAATGGAGGCGGCGCGATAAACGATCTAGGTATCTTTTGCTGTCTCTCCCTCTCTCTCTCTCTCTCTTCCTCTCCCTCTCCCGTCTCTGTTTGTCTTCGTCTTCGTCTCTGTCTCCGTCGTGGAATGTGTCGGTATGTCGGTATCTGTGTCTGTCTCTTTCCCTATCCCTGCTATAAGGTTGTGGGGGAGCATCGCTCTCCCACCCTCGTGTACGACGGGGGCCGGGACTTCGGGCGTCCCGGCAGCATCCTTCGCAAGAAGGGGGCTGACCGCCCGTGTCGGCCTATGTTAGGCCTATGTTAGGCCTATGTTGGCGTATGTTGGCCCCATGTTGGCCTATGTCGGCCCTATGTTGAGCCATCTTGGAGGCTATGTTGGGGATATGTTGGCTATCTTGGGCCTATGTTAGGGATATGTTAGGCAACTTCTGTGCCCAACACAAACGAAATGTCGATTAAGCTTGTCCGCGCGGCACGCATAACCGACACCACCGGCGCCCTGTTAGGCGCAAGTCGTCTCCGCCGAAGGCCACGAAACACTGTAAAAAACGATGTTTTCCACATCATGCACAATCATGGTGGTGGATAAAATATAAGTGACATAAAAATCTGTCGACCGGATTCGGGCGGGGGTCGACACGGGGTCGACACGGGGTATACGCGAGGTCCAACAAAAGGGTCGGCGGCAGGGGGCGCGAGCGTATATAACCTTCGGTTACCAACCGAAGGCCTCCGGCAAGGGAACGTGCGCGTGGCCGGCGCCCGGATTTACCAGGCTACCGCCTGCAGCCGCCGACCCCCAAGGGATTGGACCTTAGCGCTAGCCTTGCTTCCAGGCAGAGAGGTGGGGTGAGGCGATGTTAGCGGCAAGCGTGGCCTAGCCGTAGCGTGAGACTTAGCCTTAGCCTTAGACCGCCCCCAGGTAGGAATTCCCTCTTTTTATCATGTCCGCTGCATGTAGGTTCCCGGATCTGCTCCAAAATTGATAAACTTATTTTTAATCCCGGCCAACGCCCTGGAATTTTCCCAGGAATGCGCTAGGCTTTGTGTAGACTTTGCGCTGGGCGAGGTCTAGCCAGTGCCCGTGGTAACGTGAAAGGCCCGGGGAAGATTTTCGCATGCTTGTCAGGCGCCCGTGTCCGCGGCATGTGGCGTGTTGGTTCTAGGACGGAGCAGCGCAAACGGAAGCTTGGGCAGGTGGTGGCGAGGTTCTCGCGCCAGTGCGGGAAGAGACCGTAGCCATGTACATGCGGGTGGCACGCGCGCGTGGCGGAATGTCTGCACTGCGGTAGGCAGGGGGGGGGGGACGGAAGGGTGTGGAAGCGGGTGGTTCCACGGTGGGAGGAAGGACGTTGCCCTGGATGTGGGGAGGGTAGGGTTTCCTGGAGCACCCCTGGAGCAAAATGCAGGATCACCCAAGTGGTCGGGTGAGAGGCAGCCGGTGTCTGTGTTATGCGTTTCCTGGGGGAGAAGGGCGCTGCCCATGGTGTTCGCTAGGTCGCTTCAGCCAGCGAGGGCGTTGCCACGGAAAACTGCTCGGTGTAGTGGTCGTGGGCGGAAAACGCCGGCGCGCAGTGCGTTGGCAGGCTGGCGGAAGCCGACGGCTGCCGGAGCTGGACGAGGCACGCAAGGGATGTGTAGTGGAGTATGGAGTGAAGCTAGGGGATGCGAGCGCCGGGGTACGAGGATCGGGTCTAGCGCGGGCGGAGCGTGAGTTGGGAGTTACCGGCAGCACTTTTGGCTGGAGAAGTGTGGTTGCGATGGTTGCTGATGGTCCAGGGGCAGCTCGCGGGAAGGGACTGGACCATGAGGACTCCGTGGATCCGGTCCTGGAGGGCAGGTGGTGAGAGCTTCGTGCTCCCCGGCGGGCAGACCTGGAGGAGTGTGGATGCGGTGGCGCAGGGCGCTGCCGATGGTATAGGGTACAACTCAAGGGCCACGATGGTGTTGCTCGTGACCACCACGGGCATGTTTTGTGACGGAGAAGAGGGTCTGCGACGAATGCCAGGCTAAAGAGCCGCTCTTTCGCTGCACCCACTGCGAGGAGCACAAACGCAAAGCAGCCTTTTCCAACCTAGCGATAGACACGCTCAGACGAGCTGCCAGGAGGGTCTGTGACGAGTGCAACGCAGCGGAGCGGTGCTACACTTGCGCCAAGTGCGGGCAAAGCAAACCGACGAGCCACTTCGCCTCGCTGTCCCAAGATGCATGGAAGAGAGCAACCAGAAGGCTATGCGACACGTGCCGTGCCCCGTCGACACACGGCCGCGCCAAGCGAAGTCTGGCGGAGAACTTGCACACGGACGGGGACGCCGCGAAACGCTCGCGCACTGCCCAGTGCCCGCGAGTTGAAGCACCAACCCCCACCCAGGTGGAAGCTACATCCACCCAAATGGCCTCAAACGGGCGTGCAGCAGAGCTTCCCTTCTTTCAACAACAGACGGGGAGCGAATGTGGACTGACAGCCCTCAACAATGCCCTGCAGGAAGCACGATTCACCACGGAATCCATGCAAGCAGCCGCAGACGCGTATTTGCGCGCCCTGGAAGGAATTGACGAGGACCGAGGCGAGCGCATTTCTGACACTGGATGGTACAGCGTCCAGGTGCTGTACACGGCCCTATTCAGTGCCGGATGCACTTTGGATATTGACAACCCCATCAACACCCCTGCAAGCTTGGAGAACTGCATTGGATGCATCCAAAATTGGCAGAATACGCACTGGGTGGCCTATATAATGGTTGGGGAAGAAATTTTTCTCTGTGATTCCTTGAAGCCGCGGCCTGAGAAAATATCCGCAGCCGCGCTGGCAGCTACGCTGCCGCACTGCCCAACGTATGCCATCCGTGCATAGCTGCTCCTGGACGCCCCCGGACCACGTCGTCTCGCGCGACGCAGTCGCCAAAGACAACGCCTGCGAGAAAAAAGACCGTGCGTGGGTGGACCGCGGGTTTTCTGTCCCAGATTGACCATCGGACGTCATCTCTTGCATGAACCCCGTGCTGCGGAGCCCTCCTCCCCATAAAGGATATCATTGCCCAAGAATTTAGACCCAACCCTTCACCACCAAAGAAGATACCCAAAAAGTCGACTTTTTGGGTACCTCCTAGGTTTACCGTCGGACGTCGTCTCTTGCATGAACCCCGTAATGCTGAACCCTCGTCCCCATAAATGACCCAACCCAGCACCACCAAAGCAGGTACCCAAAAAGTCCACTTTTTGGGTACCTCCCGATTTACCATCGGACGTCAGCTCTTGCCCGCAGGGCGCTGCCCATGGTCTCGGATACAATCAAGTGCCACAAGTGTCGGCGCCCGGACTTGTGCTGAAAAGATCGGTTTCTCCCGGCGACCCAACCCATTACCACCAAAGCAGCGCCCCAACAGTCAACTCGGCGCCCGGACTTGTGTTGAATCGATCGGTTTCTCCCGATGACCCAACCCATCATCACCAAAGCACGTACCCAAAAAGTCAACTCAGTGCCCGGACTTGTGCTGAATCGATCGGTTTCTCGCGATGACCCAACCCATCATCACCAAAGCAGGTACCCAAAAAGTCGACTTTTTGGGTACCTCCCAGATTTACCATCGGACGTCTATATCCTGCTGTCCAGGCACACTCTATCGCCGAGGGCCCCTCGCAGGCCAAACTGCAAAGGTGGGTTCTAATCGGACGTCAGCTCTTGCACAAGCCCCGTGACGCGTTGGGTTCTGCGGCCTGTGGGGCCGCAGGGCGCTGCCGATGGTCTAGGATACATTCAAGTGCCACAAGTATCGGCGCCCGGACTTGGGCTGAATCGATCGGTTTCTCCCGGCGACCCAACCCATTGCCACCAAAGCAGGTACCCAAAAAGTCGACTCGGCGCCCGGACTTGTGCTGAATCGATCGGTTTCTCCCGGTGACCTAACCCATCACCACCAAAGCAGGTACCCAAAAAGTCGACTTTTTGGGTACCTCCCAGATTTACCATCGGTCTAGGGTACATTGAAGTGCCACAAGTATCGGCGCCCGGACTTGGGCTGAATCGATCGGTTTCTCCCGGCGACCCAACCCATTGCCACCAAAGCAGGTACCCAAAAAGTCGACTCGGCGCCCGGACTTGTGCTGAATCGATCGGTTTCTCCCGGTGACCTAACCCATCACCACCAAAGCAGGTACCCAAAAAGTCAACTTTTTGGGTACCTCCCAGATTTACCATCGGACGTCATCGCTTGCATGAACCCGGTGATGCTGAACCCTTCTCCCCATACAGGATGTCATTGCCTAAGAATTCAGACCCATCACCACCACAGCAGGTACCCAAAAAGTCGACTTTTTGGGTACCTCCCAGGTTTACCGTACGCGATCTCTTGCATGAACCCCGTGGTGATGATGATGCGTTCCTCACCGAAAGGCTGACAGTTTTTGGTGCAAATCCGGGAACCTACGTGAAGAGGACATGCAAGAAAATTTTTGGAAAAGCACCCTCCCGAATAACCAAAGCCTAGAGCATTCCTAGCATCTAGTCGAAAACGTTACGTGATCTCTTGCATGAACCCCGTGGTGATGATGATGCGTTCCTCACCGAAAGGCTGACAGTTTTTGGTGCAAATCTGGGAACCTACGTCAAGAGGACATGCAAGAGAATTTTTGGAAAAGCACCCTCCCGAATAACCATGGAGCCTAGAGCATTCCTAGCATCTAGTCGAAAACGTAACAAAATCTAAGTGCAGCCAAGAGTATTCCTAGGAAAAATCACGGGCATTGGC